CCTCCCAGAAGTGCTGGCGCCCCCAGGAGCCTATCCAGGGGTCGTGACGCCCTAGGGTCCCTCCCAGGGACGACGCCGCCACCAGGGACTCTCCTTAGGGGCAGCGGCGCATGCAGGGGCCTTCTCAGCGATGGCGGGGGCCCTCCAAGAGGCGGTGGCGACCCCAAGGGCCTTCCCAGGGGCAGCGATGCCACCAAGGGCCACCCAGGGGCTGTGGCACCCCCAGGGACCCTCCCAGGGGCGTCAGCGCCACCATTTGCTCTCGTTAGAGGTGGCAGTAACACCAGTTGGTCTCCTAGGGGCTCCGACGCCCTAAGGGGCCCTCCCAGAGGCAGCAAAGCCCCTAAAGGCCCTCACAGAGGCAAATCTGCATCCAGGCGACCTACCAGTGATGGCAGCGCCCCCAAGGACCTTCATTAAGGGTGGCAGTGCTCCTAGGGGACTTCCCAGGGGCTGTAGCGCCTCTAGGTGCCTTCCCAGATGCGGCTGCTCCACCCAAGGCCCTCCTAATAGCAGTGGAGACCCCAGGGGCCCTGCCAGGGGCGGTGGCGCATTTAAGGTCCCTCAAAAAGGTCGACGGTGCCCCAGGGGGTTTGATCGTGGTATCGTCCATATTGCATATGTCCGGCAATCCCTTACTTAACTGTGATTGGTGGACTGAAATGCAAATCCACCAAATTACAGCCAATAGGAGAACAGGGCATTCAGTCAGCACAACACCTCAACTTATGTTTTCCTGTTGGAAATTTATTCTCCTTTTCAATGTTCAGGATGCGATAACACTGGAAATGCAATGGGTGGTGGTGTATTTATTTAACATCATATCTCCCAGAGTTCTAAATAGTACAAAAACAACTGCCCCCCAGGGGCTCTCCTTAGGGGTAGTGGTGCCCCCAGGGACCTCTCAGGGTCCACAGCGGTTTAGGGGCTCTGTCAGGGGCGGTGAAAACCTCAGGGGCCCTCCCTGGGGTGTTAGCGCTTCCAAAGGTTCCGCTTAGGGGCAGCGGCGCCCCCAGGCGATGCCACCAACAGCCACCCAAGGTCGATGGCGCCCCCAGGGTTCCTACCAGGGGCGTCAGTGCCACCATTTGCTCTCGTTAGAGGTTGCAGTGACCCCAGTTGGCCTCCCAGGGGCCCCGACGCCCCCAGGGGCCCTCCCAGAGGCAGCAGAGCTCCTAATGGCCCTCACAGAGGTAAGTGCACACCCAGGGGCCCTACCAGTGACAGCAGCGCTCCCAGGGACCTTCATTAGGGGTGGCAGTGCTCCAAGGGGACCTCCCAGGGGCTGCAGCGCCTCTAGGTGCCCTCCCAGATGCGGCGGCTCCACCCAAGTCCCTCCTAATAGCAGTGGATACCCCAGGGGCCCTGCCAGGGGCGGTGGCGCATTTAAGGTCCCTCAAAAAGGTCGACGGTGCCCCTGGGGGTTTGATCGTGGTATCGTCCATATTGCATATGTCCGGCAATCCCTTACTTAACTGTGATTGGTGGACTGAAATACAAATCCACCAAATTACAGCCAATAGGAGAACAGAGCATTCAGTCAGCACAACACCTCAACTTATGTTTTCCTGTTGGATATTTATTCAGTCAGCACAACACCTCAACTTATGTTTTCCTGTTGGATATTTATTCTCCTTTTCAATGTTCAGGATGCGATAACACTGGAAATGCAATGGGTGGTGGTGTATTTATTTAACATCATATCTCCCAGAGTTCTAAATAGTACAAAAACAACTGCCCCCCAGGGGCCCCGACGCCCCCAGGGGCCCTCCCAGAAGCGGCAGAGCTCCTAATGGCCCTCACAGAGGTAAGTGCACACCCAGGGGCCCTACCAGTGACAGCAGCGCCCCCAGGGACCTTCATTAGGGGTGGCAATGCTCCTAGGGGACTTCCCAGGGGCTGCAGCGCCTCTAGGTGCCCTCCCAGATTCGGCGGCTCCACCGAAGGCCCTCCCAATAGCAGTGGTGACCACAGGGACCCTGCCAGGGGCGGCAGCGCATTTAGAGCCCCTCCCAAGTTTGGCGGCACCCTCAGGGGTTTGATCGTGGTATCGTACATATTGCATACATCCAGCAAACCCTTACTTAACTGTGATTGGTGGACTGAAATACAAATCCACCAAATTACAGCCAATAGGAGAACAGAGCATTCAGTCAGCACAACACCTCAACTTATGTTTTCCTGTTGGATATTTATTCTCCTTTTTAATGTTCAGGATGCGATAACACTGGAAATGCAATGGCTGGTGGTGTATTTATTTAACATCATATCTCCCAGAGTTCTACGTAGTACAAAAACAGTGCCAAGTTGTTCATTAAATTGATTTTGATGCAAAGCGCTTGGTTGTCAGCTCACCTAAAATCATGAGATTTGAGAAGAATTTTTGAATCCAGAATGTCAGTTCTCATTATTCTTTTGAGGTATGTACAGTATATCCTAATCGAGATGATTTTAATTGGTGTCTCTCGACATGTCCTTTTCCTTCCATCTCCTAACCGGTTGGAAATCTCAGGTCACTCCTGAGAAGAAGGGACAGAGTTCCTTATCTCAAGAGATGTACAAGGTTTGATGTATGGAGTCTGTTTAATGTTACTGGGTGTCAGTGAATCATACCTAGGCTACAGCATCTGATAACGTGTCGAGTTTTGAAGCAAACAACAGAGAAATATTGGAGCTCTGTTAACTTGAGTTCACTAGGTAAGAAGCTGTTAATAAAGCAGCTATTAACACTGATTCAACAGGAGAAAGCAGCTTGTTGTTATATTACTAAGTCCTTGGATATGTCAAAACCTGCCTTCAACCGACATACCATAGTTACTGTATTCATATTTTTTATTAAGTTTAAAAAATCATACCAGAATCATAAAAATTTAGCTTTTGCAAGATTTCTGTTTATGTAACAAACAATAGATTAGTTTTCTTTGCACTCTTTTATTGTGACAATAACAATAATCACAAAAAATACATTTATTTTGTATTTAAGAACATGCAAAATCAGTCCTGGTATACATGTGGTTACATTATATACAAAATTATGACATGAAGTATTAAACTGCTCCTTCGTATCCACACAACAGTATTTAAGCAACAATTTAAACATATCATAACAGAGTAACCATATAAATGGCACTGTCAGGGCTCACTGTCATGATGTAATAATCAAACTATACTTTTATCATAAAGGCAAAACATTTAAATATACGTATTTAAATATATGTATGTACTAACTCTACTGATATAGTGATACCATGAAATGACTCTAGTGTTAGGGACATTCTAATGCTATATTAATTAACAGACAGTAAAGGATGCCAGAGAAGAATGACAAATGAAAAAGATTCATACTTTCTCTCCTCACTATTTCCTGCTGAGTACCTCAATAGGAAGATGTTCTTCATCCACTGTACAGTATTTCATGTTACGTCTGTAATACTAAGTGCTTTGCAGGGCATTTTTTCAATCGGTGGGAACGTGCTCTCCAGAGCACTTCAGACGTTTGACTGAATTTTGATAACATGGAGGGAGTCACACCTTTCCAGGCCTTTCAACTGTTGACAAAATCTTAAGCCTAGCACAGAAATATATGACTGTCTGAAGGAGGTTTACAACCATTATTTTAGGATAACCTTCTTTCTTCCTCCTCTTGGCAAAATTTTGTTTTTAAACTAATATTTATTTACCCTGAACCTTTATCAAGTCAGGATTTGACACTGTTATGCCCATAAAACTGGAACACTGTCTAAATCATACAAAACTATAGCTATACTGTATCTGGTTGCAAAGGCAAAAAATTCTATCATGCACTAGTAAATTAGTAGATGTTTTTGATTGTTGCAATTGACATTTCAACTCATTGAAATACGACTTAATTGGGTGAATAGTAATACATAATACAAGTACAGTAACTGATCCCTCACCACTCATGGGTTTACAACTACAATACATTCTATATTATGTAGACCATTTTACAGACCATATGTATCTAATTTTAAGTACAGTATTTGCTAGTTTCCATGGCCAACACGGGAAGTTTTAACCCAGCACTGTAGGAATGTTTGCTGAATCAGGTCTGTCATTAGATCAGATATCAGATCAAGTGGTTCACTTCATCCTGTAACTTCTAACCTCTTTCAGTTAAGTGATGATTATTGCTAGGACATTAGAAAGTCATACAGCATATAATATGAAGGATCAAAATCAGTAAATTTATTTAACACTCATGCATGTAAGGGGGGGCAGGTGAATTATGCTTTGTCAGCTGTGAGTAAATGTCTATATTAATTTTAAATATTTCATGATATAATACTATCATGTACATGTATTTGTTCCCATAGGTTTGTTCTATAATATTATAGACACCAAATAATAAAATTAATGGTAACATCACCATTATGAAGTAAATTTTTTATCGCCATTATAAATTTCTATAAATTTTTTTCATACATTTAAATTTTTCATAATACAGTACAGTGAGTTCTGCTATAACGCGTGTTTTGACAACGCGAATTGGCTCTAACGCGATTTATGAATAGAGGAACAATATTTGTATAACGCGAACGCTTGTTTGCTGTAAAGCGATTTTTGCTTACTATTTCTCCAATTTTGTGGTATTAACTGTGAATATGGTAAAGAAGAATATCTCCAAGAAGCGTTCTGGTGATCGCATTCCCGGTGATGATCGTAAAAGAAAGGCTATAACACTTGAAGAGAAGCTCGACGTTATCAACCTAAAAATCACCCTTCTCCCCCATCAAGTTATATTCATATTTCTTCATGGTAAAGTGTTACATTTACTGTATGATTTCATTATTAGATATGAATGTAATATTTATTTAGACTGTGCTAACCTTTGTGTTAGGCTAACTACTAAAATGTTTTCGATTTCGAGTAGTAATCTGCACCTAACCCTACTTTCTCCATAAGCCCTGTTATTTCTATTACGCGAATTTCTATAACACGATGTTTTACAAGAACACAACTATCGCGATATAGCAGAACTGACTGTACAGTTTACTGTACTAAATAGAATTTATAATTTTTTTTTTTTTTGCAATTATGTTTGGAAGGTTGGCATGCATTTTAAAACAAACCATACACCAATAAATTAATAAAATGAATTTTAGTGAAGTTTTTTTAAGTTTTGGAGCATAAGTATTCAGGCGGGTGCAGTGCGTGTTCTCCGCACCCCACTTTCAATGTTGGGGGGCTGGAGTAGTAGCCACATCCCTCGAGATCCAAGAGTAACCACCTTCTCACTCACCAAGTCACTGTAGCTCAAGTCTCTGTGCATATAATTACGGTAACAATACTGTATTGATGTTCCTCATTATAACAGAGTGCATTGTTATGTGCTACCTTGTTCTACTTCTAATAAATACCTGCCAAAAATAATGTATTTTTTCCCACAAGATTGACGAATTCATAGATGAAAACGACTCGGTTTCAAAGCAAGGACATTTTTACTGGAATTTGTATTTTGATGTGTAGGATAATGCACAGATGTGCAACATAGGTTTGCAGAAGAAATTCATGACATTCAGATACAACATAGCAACACTGTAAGACAGTTAACTGCAAAGTTCCACAAAAGTGGTACAACAAGCAGGAATGTCATATGGAGGTGTACGTAAGGTCAAGACAGAATTGCATTTTCATTCCTACAAATTAGCATTAGTGCACGAGCTAAAAGAAACACACTATGATAAACGTATGAAATAATGCAGGTAGCATCGACCCTTAAATGGCTGCCATCATCGATAAAAGTTTGTTTCCTGCGCTCCATTTAAGTCATAGGTTTATACATAGCCAATAGGTGTCCTAAACTCCAGTGTTAACGTAGCCTTAATGACTATGGCAGATGGCCATTCTTCAACATCTTGTGTAGAAAGAGGATTGGGGGCAACCCTACACAGTCCTGTAATATTACCCCAAAAAAGAGGATGCCTATGTTATATGATAGTGATGATAATGTTAGTGAAGAATATTCAGAGGTAGAGGAAGAATTTGAAGTGGAAAGGGAAAAAACAGAAAGAGCTTTGATAATGTCAGTGAGTCACCCCCACGTGTACTCGCACCCTAGACCATTCATCACACCTGCTCGTTTGGTCTAATGGCACAGATTCTACACAAATATTTAAGGTTTATGTGTAGTTATTTTATATTTGGATACATTTACTGTACATACTTTTGCAATGAAAAAATACTTGAGATTATTTTAGCGTATTGGAAGGAGTGAGGGAACCCCTTAGCTGCCGACTAAGAGAGACATGTACAAAAAGAATTCCCAAACTCTACAAAAATGCAAAGTTATCCAAAATAGTTCTTAACCTGAATTGAGACGTGTTTAATGGAACAAAATTAGATCGGTGGATACATGTGTGCGCAAGCCATGGAGACCACTTCCATCACTTCCTGTGATCTTTACCAATATTTACTGCAAATAGAACAAGGTAAACAACTAGAATCTTAATTATTGCAGGTGCACAGGGACTTTTTCATCATCCTGTACTACTATCGATAAATATGTTCTAAAAATGACAGAAACATAATTTCTTTTTTTCATATAAAAATTAATTTCACAAAAATTATGAATTTAAAATAATAAACTTCCTTCAATTTGGTAAAAATTGGTGATTCCATATAATTTAGAATGCACTCAGTCAATAAAGGTATTAACAATTTTGAGCAATAATGACTTGGTGAGCAGGATGGCTATGCCTGGATCACGAGAGATGTGGCTGCCGCCCCAGTCCCCAACCCAGAGTGTAAAGTGATGACTATTGGCAGCAGAGTAGAAAGGCATATACTGTACTGTACAGTAGCATATATGAAGGATGAAAATAACCAAATTGATTTAAATAGCTGACAAGGGAGAGGACCTGGGTGTGGAAGATGATATTGTCAGTTGAGGAATATTCACATGAAGTAAGCAAGAAGAACCATTTAATCGACTAGATCCAGCAAATATTCCTGCTGTACTGTACTGGGTTTGAGACCTCCTGGAAACTATGGATCTTTAAACTGGATACTGTACTGTGGTTGGTAAAATGGTATACAAAATATAAAAAGTGAATACAGTGCTCAAAACCGTGGTTGATAAATCCATCGTTGGCATGGGAATATCAAGAACAGCAGGAGAAAATCTGTTATAGACATGAGTGCTATAATCGTGAGATAAGTTGATACTGTACAGGTGGTACAAAGATGTGGACATGAGTGCTATACTGTAGTATTGATTTTGGTTGATATAATGTAATACAAATATGAAAAAAAACAAAGAAATAATCTCAGTCCACATGAAAAGATTAAACACTAGAAAATAATAATCTCTAATTCCAGGACTCTGTAAATTAACCTTCATTCATTCAAGTACATTTTCACTAAATACAAATTTCAGCATAATACACATATGATCTCTCTAAATTAACAAAAAGGTTGGTGTACATTTCTCAAAGCTACACTATCACTATGAGTCACTCAGTTCTGTATATGGTATAGTACTTGAACAGAAGGTGATCTTTGGTGTGTGGATGGTGTCTTGGTCCATGGTTTGTTTTTGGTCAGTGGCCAATTCTTGGTTCACAGGTGGTGGTTCCTGGTCTGTGGGTAGTTCTTGTTCCACGAGTTGTTCTAGGATGTCTAATTTTCCAGTAGGATCTCTTGATGTGATTGCTCGGTAGACAAATCTTGGAATGTACTTGTGTAGAGGCGGTTATTTTATTTTTTTATTTCATTTTATTTACTTTACTTGATCCCACCGCTGCCAGAGTATTGAAGATTGTAAAAGTAAATTGGGGTTTTCCTGATAAGCCCAAAGATCATATATACAGTACATATACACACACACACACACACACACACATATATATATATATATATATATATATATATATATATATATATATATATATATATATATATATATATATATATATATATATATATATATATATATAAAGAATAAAAGAGATAAGTAAGAAAACCTTAAAAGTAAACTAAAGTAGTACACTTAGAAACTGAAAGAAGTAAACATTTAGAGAAATTGAATTAGAAAATAATATTGAAGAGACATAAAGAAATGCCTGGATGTAAGCTGATGATTTTCATCATACGATTGAGGATTTAAAAAAAACAAAAAAAAAAAACACCCCTACAGTACACTTGATACCTGGAAGACCTTGCTTTTAATGAATTCATACCAGGTACTTTTTTAAAGGTTTCTGATCAGTTTTATGCAGCCAATTGCAATGTAATCAGGCACTGATTCATGGATCAGGGAGAGTTTTCCATGGAATGTAATCCAAGCTGGCTGTAACTGCATCCACTCTAAGTAAGTACTTAAATTCACATAACTCACAAGATTTTTCAAAAGCCAGAATAAATGCATTTGGACTAAGGACTTTTGCATCATCCATGCTGAGAAACTAAATCCTGTCAGTAAAAATGTTTTTTGTTTTTTTGTATGGAAAGGACAAGGAGAAGAAGGGACATTCATGAGAAGAATAAAGTGACTCCTTCCTAAAAAAAAGCATGCATAGTGGATGGGGAGGGATCCTCAGCCAGACACCTGCTCTAGAAGGGAGGAGGACGGGGGGTCTAACTCGACATGAGGCAGCTTGATCGAGCCTCGCTTGGGTCGCCACAGCATCACCTCTTCCTGTTCCTCCACCTGCAAGAGATATCTATAAGTTAGTAATTACACTTCATTACACATTATATGGCTTACAGGCCAATGAACAAACCAATAATCAGTCTACCTTACCTTCCAATTACATAGCTGCTTCATGTAACCAAGTATTTCTCTGTTAAATTAAGTTGGTACCAGGATGCAGCTCCACTACATATTTATTTTAAGTAGCTTAACTCAATCTCATTGGCTCATGACTGTTGATCAGTTCTTTGTGATATCCGAAACAATAAAATAATCCACATTTAAAAACTACCACCGACATTTCAATAGTATTAACAACATTATATTAAAGTAATATTACAGTACAGTCATCCCTTGGTTATAGCGCACTTGGTTATCGCGATTTTCGTTATCACACCTCCACCAAAATCTGCACACTTGCTGTTATAGCGCATTTTTCAAGCCGAGAATTTCGTTATCACGCAGTTGCCTCCAGGTGTTTTTATCCATTTGCTTCACCTACATGTATTGAAGATAAAATCTTTCACCTACAAATTGACAATAACACATTTGCTGTAATCAGACATATCTAAGTTGCCTCAACAATTGCAACCCCAGTTGCAATTTCAAATTCTGTGTCATTACTAAGGAATAACGAAGTCTCGGGTGCACTCTAAAATTGAGAGAAATTGGAGGACTCAGGCATCCTGAAGCAATGAAAAAACGGACTCCTCAGACGGGGGACTCAAATAAAGAAAGCATAGCTACATGTTTTGTGGACAACAGTATTGAGCGTACCCTTTTCATTACTTTGTAATAAACCTAGCTATGCTTATGTGTTTTTCGGATACTTACAATAACATTATCTATACAGTATATTTAGTGGGTCTAAATCAGTGGTGTCAAACTCAATACCTTTCGAGGGCCAATTCTTATTTTAGTTACCCTCTTCAGGGCCAACACAAGTGCTATATCACATATTTGCAGGATTGAAATTTACAGCTTCACACATTGCCTTACCTGGCTTATCACAAATACCTGATTTGGGTTTGTCTGATCCTAAGTATGTAAAATTCATTTTACTAAATAAACATGATTATATCTATTTCTTTCATAATTTCACGGGATGATAAATTTTACCGTCACCCCGCGGGCCACACCTGACCATCCCAAGGGCCACATTTGGCCCGTGGGCCATGAGTTTGACACCCCTGTCTTACACCTTACAAAATTTTTGACCAAAACATACTTTTTTCTCAGAATTGAAATTTAAGGGGTTTAACTTATTAAGTACTTTCAGAATAACACACAAACCCTAAATCACACCTTGGAAACCCATAGTTGATGAGTAATTAGCATTGAAAAATGTCATTAACATATTTCAAGGGTCATTTTGGCCACTAATTACTCTGCAATCGAATCGCGGACCACATATTCATAATCAGCAAGCTCAGGAGTACCCATACTGTGATTTGAAGAAAAATCAAATTTTTGGCCAAAACCATCAAAAATGTAAGTCTTACACCTTACAAAATTTTTGACCAAAATATACTTTTTTCTCAGAATTGAAATTTAAGGGGTTTAAATAATTAAATACTTTCAGAATAACACACAAACCATAAATCACACCTTGGAAACCCATAGTTGATGAGTAATTAGCATTGAAAAATGTCAGTGAAATCTTAGTACTGTACAGTAATACGCAATTTCTGGAAAATTCTGAGAAATTTCCTTGGTACCCAGAAAAATTCCAATGACGGGGGATTTTTTCCGTGTTTCAGAGAGTCTTCTAGTTACCAGGAAATCTCTCATACATGATGTAAGCTGGTCCTGGGGCCATGGGGTGCAGGTGTAAAAATTTTTGAGAACCACTGCCCTTGACAACACACCTTAGTCAATAAACCTTGGTTAATACACCAAGCTGTAACAGTCTAACCAACAAACTCCAACCACCTCTCCTTGGATAAGACTACACAGTACCTCCTCAGTGTCGGTGGTGGAGGCTGTCGGGCTTTCCACATTTTCCACATTCTCCAAGCCCATCAGGGAGAGTCTCCGTGTGGTCTCCGTCAGGTGAGGGTCGTTCTGAGGCGGGAGGCAAAATTTAATTATCAAGTTTTAAAGAACTACGGTATTTCAAAATATTCTGTAAACAATAAGATCATTATAATAATTATCATAGGATATGGCACTGAATTATATTAACTATGACCAAACCAAGAACCTTGCAAATAAACAATAATAAAAACAGTGCTTTAGAGTGATGGGAAAATTCATACTTTAGATAATTTCAAAGAAATTCAGAAGAATACAAATGAACTACTGTACTGTATATAAGACTGCCTACAAAAGACGAAATGCAAGGATATAAATAATGATGACAGGAGACATAACTGCAGGGAAAAGAAAAGACAGCTAAAAGAAATGAACTATAGCAGAGAATATAAGTGGGTTGGACTACTACAGGAAGTATAGTATTGATAAAAAGATCCTGTTTGAGGTAGAAATAAAATAAAGTGGGAAGAATATGTAAATGAATTGTGGACTAATAATGATAGAATGGAGGCGAGAGAGTAAAAGTATAAAGTTCAAAGAACTAGGTAAAATAAGATAAGTTGTGGCAGCTGTGAATAAAATAAAAATTAAAAGATTTGTGAAGTTCATCAGCTTGCAGATGAATTTTAAAAACAAATGGGCAAAAAGGAATTAAATGTCTGATTTCATGATACTATTTACTACAAGGAAGAATATTTTAATCATTTCAAAGAATCAATAATCATACTGTTACCTAAATGACCAGATGCCTTACAGTGCATTCAGTCTAGAACTAGAGCACCTGTACTGTGTTAGTTTAAAGATAAAATGGATGAGTCACTAGGGAAGATTTCTTTTGGTCTGAGAATGCTTATGAGAAAGCTTTTGATGGAGGTGTCACAATTAAAAGAACATTTACTGGCACCAGGGAGCTGCAGAATCAATTTAGCAGATGGTTTAGAATTACAAAGGGAGTTAGACAAGTCCTTTTTTTTTAACAAATAAGAAAACATAGGGAAAAATTAGACAAGTTTGGTTATCAATCTATTCACGGAAGAGTCCTCTTGTCAAAGATCTAAGATATTTGAAGTAATATCGGGGGGGGGGGGGATGGGTGCCTGGACTTACCCCTTTCACCAGAAAATTCCAATACTTTATCTTTAATGCAGAATTGTACTCAGGCATTTTTGTATAGTAAAAATTAATTACTATTGACCTCAGAATATCTCCTAATATCTAGTGCATATGGCTTCAAAATGGCCTGAAAATACCCATGATATAGGTCAGATTTAAAAAAAAAAAATTGGGGAGGACAGTGCCCTCCCCCCTCAAACAACTCCAGCTAGATGGGCTCACTGTGCTTGCCATGTTTCCCCACCCACAACTTCTAGGAACCCCTCCCCTTTTGATATAGCACCTGCTTCTTGCTCCAAGGGTCACTGGTTTGCATCCAGGGGTACCCTCAAATCACCCAACTGTGATTGGGAACCTAAATGAGGCGCCCCGCATCGTATGGGTTATTTGCGGCAAAATTTTTAAAGCTGAGAAAACCGCATTAAAAGTTTTTCCAACTTCAAATTTGCATAACTTGGTTGTTTTTTGAGATACATCATTCATTTTTGATGCATTTTGAAGATAAAGGACTGTACTTACAGATGTTATGTAGTGCGTCATTGTACTGCACATCATTGTCATTCCTAAAAACCCATTTTAATTCATATTACGCTACATAATATTCAAATCCACCGCGCTTGTAGAATCTCAGGAGAGACGTGTATTTCCCACCTGTTTTACCCTCAGGATCACTCCCAGTAAGTCCCGCCTTCGAACACAGTTGTCACTACGTTTATTGCACTCTCTACTGGCAAACGCAACCTTGAATTAGTCTGTTTAAATCAACTTTAGTAATTCGCCAGACCTTTGTCAACTGAGGGTCATCTTTGAATGAGTAACAGTTAGTTTGTTGTGATTATTGTCATTGCGTGAGTAGCGATCACTGGCAACTCAGGGGTATATAAACTCAAGATGGCCAGGGAGGGCGTCCCCTGACGCTGCACCGTTTGTCTCCAGATCGAGGGTGGGCTTAATTGAAACCCACCGGTCGCTCGGAGCCGGTGGATACCCAGCAGTGGTCAATATAGGAGTGATGGCGCTGATTCGGCATGATTAATCGGCTCTACTCTACCTCGTGGGCCGAGGACCCCAAACCCACCTCGGGTCGGAGTGTAACCGACCACAACAGCAGTTGTTAGAGGCGCCAGTGCTATACCCTGGGACAGGCCTTGGAGTTATGGTCCACAGTGTGGTTGTATATGTTTTTTACCAGTATGTTTTATAAGGAATAAATCAATTAAGACATGTTATGGTTTCACCCTTCTTTACCCTTATCGATCTGGTCAATGGAAAACCTAACCCAATGCCTAGTCCACTCTGCACGCTACCTAACGAGCTACATGCTGTCCAGAGGGGGTCTGGTGGCAGCGACCCTTAGAAATTAAGATTAGAGTTAAGTTATCCCCTTAGACTTAGTGACCCCAGAATCTGGCAGTATATCATGAAGTAATGTATTGGGTTGTTACAATGTTGACTTGAAGCAACAAAACTCCCACCCGCTTATGGCTTTTTTTACTTTAATCAGTATCAGAGAGTAGATCTGGCCACAACAAAAGAGAACTGAGGGAGAGGAAGAGAGGGATTCTGCCTCATTGGCTTGAGGGGCTGTGATGTAGATAGTAGGTGCTTAATGGCATTGGCTGAGACGGGGGAGGAGGCTTCAGGCCGGCCGCTGCGATTGGCCGCCCACTCCTCTCACCCACTCACTGACGGGACGAGGGCGCCTGACAACGCAAAAGCCAAGCCCATACTTTCCTGTCAGCCACAAATCGATGTTCTACCCTATTTTCCTAGGGCTTTCAAACTTATTTACAGTGTAGTAAGGAGATCTTATCAACTACCATCGTATAGAGCTAGGCCGAACATAGTGCTTTCCAACAAGAAACGGGTTTTGCCCGGAGTGGTCTGAATGAACCTTAAGATGGGGGGGGGGGCCTCATATTATTCAGTTAAGAGAAGCAAAGGCAGTCACAAACAGTGAGGCCATGCTGTTTCATTGTGTATAGAAGGCAGGGTGTCCAATTTTGTATATTGTATACAGTATGTACTGTACTGCCCTTAACATTCAGTCAGTTTTATGGGACTCATGTCCACTTTCATAATACAGTACATAAGAAAAGCATTCTGCAGCAAGGAGTTCCACAGAATGCTAGTATGGGTTATAAATGAGTTTTGATAGGCAGCTTCTCGCTTCTTTACAAGAGAATTTTCAAGCATAAAGTCATGGTCCTCCCACATGCCCTTGTATGTAGGTGGAGGGTACACAGTCGTGGCAATATTGATTATACCTGTACTGTACTGTATTTACACCTCTTTTCATAGGGTATTTAATTGCTTGAAATTAGCAAGCAGTTACCAACCACTCTTTGTATCAACATCATCAGGGTAGCAATAAAGTTTTATGAATATTAACAGTAATTTAAAAAAAAATTTCCGTATTTATTTCCCCAAATATCTTGCAGCTATGGTGCATAGGATTGTGCTCTGTAGTTTGCTGTGTCGGCTCTGCACTCAACTCAAATATTCTTGGGATTGTCCCTGTAATTGAACCATTTCATGGAGTCTACATTTAAAAAAAAAATTTATTTTTGGTATGAATCGCTTCATTCTAACCTTGCTGACATAAATGATGTGCTCAGCAGATGAGCCCATGACTGAGGAAAGGTTGCCCATGCCTGTAGTAAATCTTTCTTATCTTTCAACTACTAATCTTTCTACCTTTCAATGCCCCTTCACTCCCCATCATGGACTCTATCACCTCCTCAGTTTCTCTCTGTTTAATTCTCTTCTCTCCCCATCCTAATTCCCCTCACCTGTTGTGCTGGCTCGGAAGCTGCTGAGGGTGGGGTAGTGGGTGGAGAGTCATGGGTGGAAGAATTCTTGGATTGGTCTGCGGTGAGTTGTTCTTTGTGGAGGGGGTGTGGGTGGTGGGCGGGGCTGCGACTGTGGCCGGGTGCTGCCTCGTCGTCGCTGCTGCCCTCTGTGTACAGCTCCTCTCCACTGATCCAACTCTCCTCTTCCTCCTGTAGAAGGTTATAGGACTTTAGAACATTCTCTAGACGAAAAACATCAACTTCTAGAGCACTGAATTATTGAGAATTTTGGCTTGAACATTATGGTTTGTAATACACCATGTTGAAGAACATTCACGTAACCAAAACATCATCTTGAAGAACACAAAGGCATTTAAAGCATCATTTTAAAATCTAAGCCAATTTAAAAATATCGTGAAAAACATTAGGATATTTAGAGTATCACAGTGGATATTAAAATATAGTAGAGGGTCATCTTATATACAGTATATTATACTAATGTTGAGAGTACAGTGTGAATACTTATCTTTAAACCCTCTATCTCTTTCTTAACCAGTGTGTGGGGCTTCCCTTGTGCAGTAGGTAGTAGAGTTTCCTTCCCGGGATCTCGGGCGTAAGTGGTTATGTTTTTTTTCCCGGGAATTTGGTTCAAATCCCGGGATTCTTATTGTTATTCCATATCTCTGATTTGCACTATGTAAAATACAAAAACGCACGAGAGAGAGGGGGTCGGCTAGTGTAAGAAACCCCCAAAACAGTGTTAGGTTATTCCCATATTAGGTAGGAGTGATTGGCATTTTATTTACTTATTGTATTTCCATTTTGTATTAATCTTAGCTGTGACTATATGCCTGTTTATACGAATTGTACATAAGGTTTTTCAATTAACCAATACCAAAAGAGGAATAAAGAAGTGAAGATAGATTATCAAGTGTTATTTTTTGAGGTCTTTGGTCAGTTTAAATGTCCCTAAAATCTTTAAAGGGCTGGAATCTCACTCGTTTCTTTCTGGCTGTGCCCTGGACATAACAGGTATGTTATATAGGGGTGGAATTATAAAAAAAGTAAAAATAATGAAATTCTGTTTGAGTGAAAGCAAAAGAAAGGTGGTTAGAGTATGCAGATAAGGTAAGAAAGACAAAGAGAAATGAAAACGAGTTAACAATTTTGGCAACAAACTGCTGACACACCCGTGACGAAAATAAAATTACAACAATGATCGGTTATCACTGAGACTACTATATAAAAAAGTTATCTTATCTTCACTTGGGAAGAGGAACATATAATGTAGGAGTCTTTGATAATCCGAACCCAGATCCACTTTTATTGGGGATTCCAGATATGTCCCTTTTGTGCCCTGCCTCACAAAGAATTTCTCAGAAAGGTCCGCTACCCTTCCTAGTCCTCTCTTCCCCTCTACACGACTTCCTCAATCTTCTCCATCTCTCTCCTACCGAACAGTAACCATAATCATTCAGTTCTCTACATCTCTAATTATAAAGTTTCCCCTATAATACATAATCTTTTCTTGATTCTAATTTGTCCCATACCAATATAATCCTTCTTTCCATTGTAGCAGATGTTGATTACAGCTTTTGAGGGTAACTTCATTTTCCTCACCTTCCTTGCCTCCATTTCTCTTATCCCTAACCTTCCTCTTCTTTCATTCTCCCCCTCTTTATCTCTTATTCCTTCCTCTACTTCATCTTATTCTCCTTCATCTTATTCTCCTTCATCCTCCTTCTTTTTCTATCCTCCCGTTCTTTCTTTTCATTTTCTCTTCACTCAATATCCACCTTCACTTTTCTCCTCCTTCCTCTCTATCTTTTCCCCTTCCTCCTATTTTTACTTAACACTTAGAATCCTCCTCCTCTTTTTGTCACCTACATATGCTTACACCACCTGCGCATGCTTAAGCCGCCCATGCATGCTTTAAGCCGCCCATGTATGCTTAAGCCGCCCATGCATGCTTAAGCCGCCCATGTATGTTTAAGCCGCCCATGTATGCTTAAGCCGCCCATGCATGGTCAGGCCACCCACATGCTCCCACGCCATCTATGTACAGGAACGAGGCTTATACATGCCTCACGAACTCCCACATCACTGGCACCAACATCATCCACATGCACCTACATTGCCCACATCACTCACCTATGCCCACATCACCCACACACATGCCCACATCACTCATACAAACCTTTATCACCCACACATCATCAAACACAAACACACGCACACACCCTCAGTCATCTATGAGATAAGAGAGTCATAAGAAGAATGTATGAAAATACTCCATCCACACCTTCCTGAAGCTCCACAACCATCCACACAACAACGTACCCTTGGATGGTCACCCACACCTATAATATAATAATGGTTGCCCCTCGTGTAACGAGGATGGCAGGTCCAAGGGCCACCTAGGCGTGAATTTATTTAAGGTGTAGAAGCTGTCGCCAACACAACAACCACACCCTAAGTTAACGAGCTGCATGACCCAGTGTCAAGGAATAGTCCGAGAAGACCGGACAACTCGCCAACTGCACTGGCTAACCATTACCCCGGAACACGATCCGCAAATCGATTAACATCCAGGTTCCCAATTACTGCTGGGTAGACAGAGGCAAATGGCACAAAGAAACTTACCCATTGTTTCACCCAGCCCGGGTATCGAACACGGGTCCACTCGCTTGCGAGGAGAGCATGCTGACCATTACACATATCCCTGTTCACACTCACCCATCTGTCTCCTTCCCTACATCCACACAACTATTCCACATACACACACAAACACACCTACACAAGCCCCAAATATAGTGGCAATGAAATCGTGTATTAATCTGCAAAAAAAAACCCGAATTCATGTAGGCCTACTTAGTCTCTCCTGTAAGGCCTATGAACAGCCCCGTATACAAGTGGTGAGCAGTGAATCCGGGTCATTTAGGTTAGGTGGGGTCTCTTTTTGCCGCCTTATGACGATGACACTAGGCTGTTGATCCACCACCAGCTAACGTAAACACTGATTAGTACTTGGTCGTCTGTCGCCTGTCTACCCTAGGGCGATGGAGATGTGCAATATGGTATTCAAGAAGCCATTGAGTCACATAGTGTGGCTGTTCGTAAGCCCGGGTCGTTGTGAAGCCGCGTCTCTCCCCGCACTACTGAACTTTGGATCTATAGCGTACGACCCTCATTAAAAGCAATTATTCTGCCATTTAAAAGACTCTCAAGCTATAAAACTCTTAACTATTCCACTCTTTTTTTACATTCTCCTATACGGCCAGGCATTAATGAGGACATCAGTTAAAAAGAGTAAAAAGAAACGTTTATAACTATATATGATGCTATTGGAAGTCATCGAACACCAGAGAATGACACTCAAGACAATTTTCTTTTGCTTGAGTTGTACAGTACATCCTTTACTGCATATATGTATATTGCCTTGGGTATAACTTTTACTTTACACACGAATGATGTAACAACAAGTTAAGACCACAAAAGTCTAGCGGACAAAAAATATTACGTAAAACACAACATCAAAAGTACATAAAAATTAACGTAAAAAGTATGAAGTGACGGAAATATTAAAGGTCAAGGTAAGGTAGAACGTCACGACAGGGAATAACGTCTAGGTAAGGTATGGCGTCACACATGAGGAAACACAGCAAGTAATCAAGCTTCTATTGTAAGATATAGATCGGTTATAACAACAATTGGTAATCAGTTAATAAACTCCATAAACACAAGTACCCTTCATACAGTATTTATAACATTAAATTTAGAAACAAAATAATCTTTCTGCAGTTGAGGGAATACCTATACAAATAAATTAGATAAATGTTCTAAATTACTGATATTGCCAGTCATTAGCTAATAGTTTACATACGATAGGCAGTCGACCTCAATAACAATAATTACTGCCTGGAACAACACCCAACAAAACTGTCCTTCAATTATTCTTTTTTATGATGGCGTTTGTTTTATGACCTTCTATTGAAACACTAATGAGGTTGTGTTTTAATGACGAGCAAAAGCCATTCACCAGTTGTAAAAAAATACAACGAACAAATAGATGAATCATATGTCACAAACTACAGCATGTGACCCCTCGATAAGTTCCTCCACTCTCTCCCTATCAGCCGTCTATGTTTACAGAGGAGAGGGAGGGAGGATGACCAGTTTGGGGGAGGATGACCAGTTTGGGGAAGAGGAGGTAGAGTAGATATCAAGTATGGATGATAGGAGGGAGAAACGATGACGAATATGGATGAAAGGGAAGGGAGAAGGAAGGATAGCAAGTATAAAGGAAAGGAAGAGGAAGGGTGAGTTGGTGGAAACGAGACGTGTGTACTGTACTGTACACAGGCACCATACCACTACTATACACTTCTACAACACACCACTACACACCATCACAGCACACCATCAAAACACATCACAACACACCACCACTACAACACACCATCACACCACAACACACTATATCATGACTAACAATCTTTTTTCTATCAAATGAAAAATACCGACTGGTGGTGTTTTCCTCCTGTATCATCCATAAGTACCCATCTTATACTGTACCCAGCCGATACTGTACCCTACTGATATTATACCCAGCCGATACTGTGCCCAGCTTATACTGTACCCAGCTCTTCTTTTAACCAGGTGATCTTGTACCCGGTAAAGACATGGGATCACTTGGCTGTCCTGTGTCCCAGAGGATTCTCCAATGTGGCCGCCGTCTTGGACTTATGCAAATGAGCACTTTGACAAACATAAGCCAATTTTATAAGATTTTGCGGGTAAAATGCTGCCGAAATATTTGTTTTTAATCGCTTATAAATACATAAATAAATAAATATAATGTATAATGCAAGGATACTTTAGTTCAATATGTTAGTAGACTGTTTCCCCTAACACCTTCACTACGGGGACACCAGTTGTAATATTTTATTTGGCTAACGTCAGGTGACTTCAGCAGAGGGCAGCCCGTACTTATGTGGTTTTAAAATTTTCTACTGAAGCCAAATGGTTTATTACTTTTATTCTTGTATATAACGGTTAGAGTTGATAAGACCAAGAGTAAAGCAGTACTGTGCCCGATTATTGCCGACGAGCGCTGCTGATTTAATGATGTGCTTTCACATTCGTATTTCGAAACACCTGAATACCCGTGTCCACATACAAAGAAAACTCGTATATTTGTATAAATACACGACTGTGTGTGTGTTTGCCTTTGTATGTGTCAGCCATCCTTCTCTGTGTATGCATGTGTATTTGTGTAACCTTGTGTTTGTATGGCCTATGATACTATACATATTCATATAACCAGGTCAATCTACTTACCTCCCTACGCAGTCTGGTCACCTGTAGCTGGCGGGGCTTGAGAGAGGCTTCCGTCACCGCTGCCGCCATCACAATGACTCCAACCACCAACTGACGGAGGAAAAGACGCGGGTTATTAAGATGAGGGAGAGAAGCCAGAAGGAACCACCATGAACACAGTGTAACTACCGCCCGATGGAGAGAAGCAGGTTAATATTATTGAGGGGGGAAGGAGGGAGGGAGGGAGCTAAGGACGAACCAATCCGACGTCACTCGCCTCTACCTGACTGAGGAATGATACACGGTCTATTTGTTAAGGATATCCCATTATCCTGATGATTTCGTCTATAGTTATTTCAAATGTCAGCGTTACATTGATTTTATTCTTCCGTAGATACATTCTTCCACAAATATATTACTCTCAAGGTAAAGCAGTGCCAGATTTAGACCTGTGGAGGCCCATGGGCAGCCTCTTTGTGGAGGCCCCCCATTATAACTACCCAAGAGGGTGGTGAAGCGAGCCTAAACATCTGGGAGTCCCGGGGGGAGCTGTAAGCCCCCGGGAAATTTTTAAAATTTGAACACTTCTTTCGAGAATTTTGAAGCCATATGCAGTTATATTGGGGAAATTAAAACATTGAATTTTTTTTAATTAACTGTATATTTATTGATAGTGTACAAATTCCCAACACACACACACACACAAAAGTGAGACATGCTGGAGTCATTCATGTGGTTTCAAGTCGACCAGCCCTGATATAGCTGCTACCGCACATGTCAAAAATTTTCAAGAGACTTCACAGAAAAGGATATATTATTAGTTATTACAGAGAGATGATTCTTTGCATTAATAATCAGATAAACCTCTACTCAAATAATGGTTCTGTCCAAGAATGCATGTATAGGCTTCTTTAAGTCCAAGGTCAGATGTAATATGTGGAGGCCCCCAGATAGTGGAGGCCCCTGGGCAGCTGCCCACTTTGCCCACTCCCGAATCCGGCCCTGAGGTAAAGAACTCTCTTACATTGTCCATTACTTGGGTACCTTAAATTTATGATTCCTTGTACAACATATGTCCGGGTTAACGTTTCCCATCCTGTTTAGAATTTCAAATGTCTTTACGAGATTTGCCGCGTTGTGTCTTGTTTGTACAGTTGTCAGTCCCCAAATCTTTAATCTTAGTTGATATTCAAGATTTTTGTTTCTTCAAGAATGGTTACAATCTTACTCGGTTGTAAGTTTTCCTTTGTTATTTTTCTATACGTTTGGTGTTCATGCTTGTAATAGTACGTCAATATTTTCCTATCTGTATAATCAAGAGTAGGTTAGGTTACGAATTCAATAATGATAATAATACTCTTCCTTCCACAGTCTGATGACCTCCTACGGAGAGGTTTGGTAAGGTTCTCAATGGCAGTAAAGTACAGTAAGTGTGACGCGTGTCGGCCCTAATTCCCCCAAGACACAATCAATACTTCAACCACAACAAGAGCAATGTAAACCGCGACCCTACCAGTCCCCACCACAAAGTCTACTGAATGCATGCGGCAAGTGGCTATTCCACGCTCTCTAAACACGCGCTGATACTCGCGAAGTGCACCCCAAAAAGACAAACCACCGCAATGCAGAGAACACATAGGTCAGACACCCAGCTAACAATGGTACACACAGACGTAAATACCACACGGAGAACAACGGAACAAAAGAAAACCAATAAGAAAGTAAAACACATCAGCCATGACAGACATTTTCAGCTTTTCGTGTCAGACCGTGCATGGTGGAGGTTTATTTATAAAATTGAATTTTATTACTTCAGAAACATATGTTGAAGTATATAAAAAGTGGAGGTACTGTATATAATCAGGTTACAGCACATATCTTTCCAAATAAAAAAAAGTTGAATGCAAACAATTAAAACAAATTACCCAGGTTAAAAAGGATATTTTTCTCAGGTCCTTTAATATTTACTGTAATTACGTCAATAAATTTCAACATTACGTCTTTGGTAAAAAAAAACAAACAAATTCTTATAAGCTAACTTTTGGTGTATTTTTCTGTTAAAAAAAAAACTCACGATGTAGTTTTCATTTACAATGTGTAGCAAATACGCGAAGGGAAGTTTGTAAAAAAATAAATAATGTAATGCCTCCAGTATACTAATCCAGCGTCGTTATCAACAAGAAGTCAGATATATAAGACCAATCAATAACTCGCCTCGGGAGGAGTTTGAGAGGTTGAATACGTGTGTCTGCCTGCGTTTCTCTCCCCATTATATACATCACATCTTATTCATATCTGCACCAAACCCCGCGGATGACATACACTAAGCAAACCATTCATTACTTCATCGTTTATGTTGACAGATATTTTACCAGTCAACCTAAGAAAATCTGAATAGTCACCAAGATATTGCCTTCATGAGGGACGAAAATATAAATGACATACAAGTATAAACAAATATATAAATGCCGTATAAGACTCACGGGAAAAACACGTGTCATCATAAAACTCTGAAGACGCCATTAGTAATATACTTACGAGACCTTAAACTTTTCCATTATAGTTTAATGAGTGCTGAAAGTTGACTAATTTGTCTGGAAATATTTCGGGTGTGGAGGGGTGAGTGGTGAGGAGCGAGGGGGTGAGGGGTAAGGGGAGAGGGAGTAAGGGTGGGGGAGTAAGGGGTGGGGGAGGTGGGGAGGGTGGGGAGTAAGGAGGTAAGGGGCAAGGGACATAGAGGTGAGGAGGTGAGTGAGGGATAGAACAAGAGGATTTATAGTGCAAGGGGGAAGAAATTAAAGAATGTTGTGAGGAGATTGGTGAGGAAGAAGGAAGGAAAGAGATTATGGCAGAGAAGGAGGGGGCAGATAAGAGGGAAGTTCAGGGATATTGTAGGAATATACAGGTAGTGGAGGCAGCAGTGGGTAGAGGAGGCAGCAGAAGGTGGTGGAGACAGCAGAAGGTGGTGGAGACAGCAGTGGGTGGAGGCAGCAGAAGGTGGTAGGCCAGAGTGTGGTGGAGGCAGCAGTGGGTAGAGGAGGCAGCAGAAGGTGGTGGAGGCACAGAAGGTGGTGGAGGCAGGGTAGAGGAGGCAGCAGAAGGTGGTGGAGCAGAATGTGGTGGAGGCAGGTAGAGGGAGAGGCAGAAGGTGGAGACAGCAGAAGGTAGAGGCAGCAGAAGGTGGTGGAGCAGAAGGTGGGAGGCAGCAGGGGAGGAGGCAGCAGAAGGTGGTGGAGGCAGCAGGGTAGAGGAGGCAGAAGGTGGGGAGGCAGCAGGATAGAGGAGGCAGCAGAAGGTGGTGGAGGCAGCAATGGGTAGAGGAGGCAGCAGAAGGTGGTGGAGGCAGCAGAAGGTGGTGGAGGCAGCAGAAGGCAGTGGGGGAGGAGGCTGTGGGTGGTCGAAGGAAGTAGGTAAACACGCTAAGTCCACTCACACACGATCACGCTGTAGGTCACGATCATCATGACCTCCAGCCAGGCTTCAGTCCCTATAACTCTGCCTGACTCTCCATAAAAGCTACTTCACTTGGGCTCTATACTCATCTGCCAGGTACTAAAGAACTTAAATCAACTTAGTATAGCTTGCCCTGTGTCTATATAACTCTTACTTAACTCTCTATAGCTCTATTTCATCTATATATATATCTTTCTGGGTTTTAAATAACTCTAATTGAACTTATCTGATCCCAGTTCAACATTATAGTTTGACGTGGTTCACTTTGACTAAACTTAACTCCGACAGGGTTTCCATAATTCAAGTTCTATGTATTTATGTTTATTTATCTTTGTACAGTGGAGCTGCTTATTAGTCTCTCTTTGATCTAAATTTATCTCGTCTGTTAACTACTGCCATTGTGTCGTTGTCCTGTTGATGGTGAATATTATCAGAGTTTATAATTGACCTGTGTATGTACCACTACTCTGCACACACACACACACACACACACACACACACACACACACACACACACACACACACACACACACACACACACACACACACACACACACACACACACACACACACACACACACACACACACACACACACACACACACACACACACCTTCCTCATATAATTTGTACATCACCAAGAAAATATCCCCAGTTTAACACAATTTCCTTACCATCTCCTCTTCACTTCTTTTCCTTACTTATCTCTCTCTCTCTCTTTCTCCCTCTACAAACTGTAATTTCCTCCTTCATAATACCACAAAGCCAGACATTTGCAGCTTCGACTACCCAATTATCGACCCCATGTCCGGTCTGTGATGAAGGGCGTTTTCCCAGTTGGCATCATTACTCAGTCACCTGGACGGACGAGTAGTTGGTGTTGTCAATCTCTGTTATAGTCATACCTACACTCTACAGTAAACAAACAGCTGATGTAAACAAGGGTGAGATAATGTATTGGTAGGTTGTTTGTTTGTTTGTTCATCAGGGCAAACTCTGATTGTCCATATGGAGATAGATCATGACAGGTGAGGGGTAGGGGGTGACAGGTAAGTGGGGTAGGGGGTGACAGGTGAGTGGGGTGAGGGGTGACAGGTGAGTGGGGTAGGGGGTGACAGGTGAGTGGGGTAGGGGGTAACAGGTGAGTGGGGTAGGGGATGACGGGTGAGTGGGTGGAGGTTAGTTTAAGCCCGGAGGCATATTAGCTCTGAGGTAATGACAATTATATCCTGACTGAAGTATCTGTCATAAGGGTAACAGGAATACCACAGTATTTAAGGTCAAAAGGTTTCCCCGAGGAGGTAAATACTGAAGACAATGCACTCAATACCAGGGCTTATTCCCGGTGCTCACCATTTGTCTCGGCTTCTTCACGTGGAACTCAGAAAACAGTAAACACAACATGAATTAATTTCCTCACGAATTGATGCACCTTTTAGCAGTCAGTCGGAGGAATGAATGTTATGCCATCGTCCTCGGTATAACATATGATATAGTTTTTAATCCTATGCCTTATTGTAGTGTCCTCAAACAATACAAAATATATAAGATAGTCCTACTGGATTATCAGTTTTACTTGAAATGGTGGTAGCAGTCACGGAACAGGAAAATAGCACCTGTTGGGTAGGCCTACCGAGTCGACTCAAGGTTTTGGACCT